CACTATGTGTCTGGCACTGTTTTAAGGACCTACAAATATTTACAACAATTTAAACACCGTAAGATCTGTTGAGATAGGTGCTATAATTATCCCATTCTCAAATGAAGAAAGCAGGCACAGGGAGGTTACTTGCCCAAGGTCACACTGATAGAAAGTGGCAGAACAGGATTCAATTCCAGGGAATCTGCTTCCAGAATTCATGTACAGAATTGCAGCTCTGTGCTACCTTTGTTGAGTAGTTTAATTACTATTAAAGCAACTACTCTCTTCAAAGTTTTGAAGAGCTTTGCTGGGTGATTGTGGCTATAGGTAAAAAATTTGGATGAAGCACTTACTGAGGTCCCATCAAACTCTTAGCTATGTGCTATAAGTAATAATTTCACAATAGAATAAATATTTTATTAATTTTAAGACAGTAGATCATTATAATCTGGAAATTGACTGATACCAGTTTAATCAAATACCTGACAGTCTCTGCTTGTTAAATTCTTCCCTTGTTCTCTCTGCTCTTTCTCTGAGACATTTGAAAACTCACCTGCAATAGTCCATCAATATATTTACTGAATAACGGCTACGGGCAAGGCACAAAGCTATGTACTATGGGAGATTTTTACCAGAGAGAGGGCTTTTTCTCCCCTTGATGCTTATAATCTAGTTAAGATGGTAACAGATTTCCCTGAATAAGCAATTAACAAAGCAGTAAATAATAAATGTTGAAAGAATGTTACAGACAATAAGTACTCTGAGGAAGTTAGAGACGTGTTTCTTTCTGCTTCAATAATTCCTTATACATACTCTTATCAGAGCAATTATCAAGTATAATTATTCACTTGCTGAAGCTAATTTACCTGCTTGTCTCTTCTACTAGAATGTAAGCCTCTTGAGGACAAGAATGCAGTTTTATTCATCATTGTTTCCTTGATGTTTAGCACAGTGTTTGGTATTCAATAGATACTTAATATATACTTGATGAATGAATGAATGCATGAAGAAATAAATAAATGTTTCCTAGAGGCAGGCATTTCTTTTGTGGCCAGTGCAGTAGAATGGTAAATCCCTGGAGTCAGGCTGTGTTGGTTTGAACCTAAGCACTGCTTTTGAAAAGTTGTGTGATTCTGAAAAATTTACCTGATTTCTCTGCATTTCATTTTGCTCATTAGTAAAATGAAAATAATAGTACCTTTCTTCAGCAGCTAATTTGGCTATGGAACAAATTACCCCAAAAGCTAATGACTTGAAACAGCAGCCATTGATTTAACTCAGGGTTCTGTGGATCAGTCATTTGGAGTATGTTGGTTCTCCTGTCTCAGCTGGGCTCATACACGCATCAGAGTTCAGCTATTGGGCAATCTGGGGAATGTTTTGTCCATGTGATGTGTCATCTTCTACCAGGCTAGCCTGGGCTTCATCACATGACATCTGGCAGGCCTCTAAGAGGGAGAGTTGAAACACACAAGGCCTCTTGAGGCTTAGACTCAGAATTGGCACAAGGTCGCTTCTGGGGCACATTCCATTGGTCAAAGGAAGTTACAAGGCCAGCTCACATTCAAGGATTGGGTAAGTCGAATCCACTCTTGATGAGAGGAGCAGCAAAGCCACATTATAAAGTGGTATGTATACCAGCAAGGGTGGAGACATTGAGCTATTTTTGCAATCTGCCATACTCTTTCATAGGATTAGCAAGAGGATTAAGAACATAAAACATTTAAAGGATTTAGAACAGTGTCCACCACGCAGTAATAAATCCAATAAGTAGTAGCCATTGTTATTCTGTTGGAGGTTGCCAGGAAAAGTTTTATAGTGGAAAGAAATCTGAGTTTACTCTTGAGAGGTAAGTGGGATTTCTATTTGTAGAGAACGAAGGCCTCTCAAAAGGACACAGCCTAATAGGTGCTGTGGTTTAACAGTGGAGCGTGTCCAGAACAGGCTGCCCAGAGGAGCTAGAGCTAAACACTGGGAACCTAGAATGCCAGCCACAGAGTTGGGCTTGACAGCAGAGCAATATCAAACCATTGGCTTTTGCCTAACTGTTAGCCAACAGCACCATTTCTTATTGTTATTTCAGATGCTGTGTTCTTTAATAAGCTTCTCAGTGCTGATGGTTCTGTGATATCTTTGACCCATCTACTCAAGATTAAAAAAAAACAACAACAACTAGAAATCTGTGAGTTGTGTCTAGATTTTGCTGCTCCCTAACTTTGAAGGAGCTATGTGGTCCTTCTTTACTCAATTTTATTCCAAGTGTAAAATGGAATAATTTCTTGCTTTGTCCATCCATTCCACAATAATGGTAATCTTAAAGGTCAGATCACATTGAAGTAGTGTTTACTATCCAAAAGACACAGGGGAGAACAGGTTCTGATGTTTATGCAATTTGATGATAACTCATAAATCCTAAGCAGAAAAGTCAAGAATAAGGAAAATGAAGTTTCAGTGTGGCTGCACCTATATGTCAAGCAGCAAAACATTTCTAGAACTGCTCTAAAGATAATCTTCAGTGCCTCCAGTCCAGTGAGACGATCCTGAGCAACTGGAGCCACTGATAGGCCTAGATCTCTGCCACCTTGAAGGCTGACCAGACCACTAGAAGCTAATGGCAGCTCTAGTAGACTGCTCAGTGGCTATGGTTTCAGAATCTTTCCATTGTACATGGTTTAAATGCAAATTCACTAACGAATAATTTTGATAATTCTATGGAAGTATGAAGATGATTTGCATTAGGCGACTACACAATCATATTTAATTTTTTTTAAAAAAGACAATTCTGGCTCTTCTTATGCCATGTGAAATCCATCCTGCTGAGTGCTCCTGACTAGTCACGTCCTTCCTGCCATTTTAAAAACAATAGTGGCAGAGATGCAAGCTGCTGATAGTGCTCAGCAGGACAGATCAAACACACAGATGCAATTTCTGTATGTTGAACACTGAAGTAGGATAAAATTCAAATACTTACAATCGCTTAGTAGCTAGCATCTGATTGCTGCAAATTGAATCTTTCATAACGAGATTTATTGTAAATAGTGTCATCTCATTTGTGAGTTCTGCAATAATTTCAGTCAAAGCCAGTATAAGATACTGGAGGTGTGAGATTTATAGGACATATATGCTAGTTTATGCACAGATTATGAAGAGACGTTTTATTGATATTCTTTTTTAATTGCTTATAAAATAACCAGAATTGTATTTTTTCCTGAAATTTAAACATTATCAGATAACTTTAGAATGCAGAAGAAAATGTTTTTATCCACTTCAACAGACATTTTTGGAATTGCCAGCTCCCAATCCCATTCTCTTCCCCTTCAACCCTAGTTGTTAAATAAGCATTAACATTATAGGTAGCTAATATGTTTGAAATGTGGCTTTTATATTATTTGGAAGCAATAAAGAGCCTGGTAATCATAATTCGTGACCAATATATCCTATCCATAGAAAAACAGAAATTTGAAACTAAGCTATTTTGAGGCCTATGAACATACTTTCTTTCATGATAAAACAGGAAGGTGGCCATAATTTAAGTGATCAAATACTATTATTGCCTTTGGGCTTAGTTCCAAATACTTCATGAGAAGTCCATAAAAGATCAACATCAAAAGCATAAATAAAAATTGCACTTTACATGTATGAGAGTTTTATGACACTCCACATACTTAATAGCTTTAATTGCTAGTGACACAGAACTCCAAAAATGTTCTACCTTAGAGTCACATGATCTTCCTGTTCAACACCCAAACAAGGGAAATTTTAAAAAAAAATCAAAACAAATAATAGGGACGGGAGAATTGGATAATCTGTTCTCTTTCCTCTGCCCTAAACAACAACAGCAAAATTCTTTTATATGATTTAATCATGTACTGGGGCATTTCCATTAAACGTAAATATGAGAATGCAGCATCTCAAAGGATCTGAATAAAGAAGTCTTACTCTCAGATAATCTAGAACCTTGACAAAAAAAAGGGGGGGGGGCTTTTGTGAGGGTTAAATGTTTCAGTTTGATCCTTCTTCATTTATTTAAGAGTGAATATCCCATGTGCATGTTAACATTATCATTGTAAATGGGGAATCTCTATTTCTGAACCTCAGAATTGTTAGTTTTCCTCCCTTTCCTAAGCAGGTGTCTTTCCATCTCTCACAAATCAAAGAGATGATGGGGGGTGTGAATAGATGTCTTGCAGTGGTGCCCTGATATGTATTTTAATAAGTTTACTCATCAGAGCACATATAAATTAGAATGAATCATATTCATATATTTAATAGCAAACAAAGCTCAATTTAGCTCATGTCCAGTTTTCTTCGTGTTCATTTTACTTAAGGGCATGCCTTCCTTTTTCTGCTTCTTTTTTTCTTTCTTTCTTGGACACCTCCAACCCCCATTGATGACCGAAATGCAGGGCTATAAATGTAAGGGTGCAATACATCATGAGATAAGTCTGGAGAACATGTCCTCTACCAAAATGCACATGAATCTCTAGTACAGCTAAAATTCCAGAAACATGCTGGGGTTCCTTTTGCATGGTAAGCAGGGTCAAAAATGTGAGCACTAGGTGGTTGCCCTTATATATCAGATGAGTTCCAAAGTTGAAAGGTTACATTTGTGAAATTGCAGCTGGGTTTCCTAGCACTTGAGTCTACCTCCTGCAAAATAAACACTCCTAATTGAAATACAAATCCAACAATATGATAATCTTTCAGTAAAAAAAAAAAAATATATGACTTCTGCACCCTTATCTGTTGAAGAGCTGACAGAGAAGTTCAGAGGCAGTTGTTTCACCAGACAAAATGATAGAGAAAATATGTTTTCAAATAAGATCATAAACCTTGAATAGTGCTTTATGGGAAGCAAATGTAAAGCAAAGGGCTGTCCTCTATTCTGTCTACCAGCTCAACTCTCACCACCCTGGTGTGTATCCTCAGCCACTCACCTTTTAGGCAAGGGCTACTATCTTCTAGGTCAGACCCAAATCCCAAATACCAAAACAGAATAAAGTGAGATCTTAGCATACTTTGAGATCAGACTGTTTCTGCATTTCATAGTGCTAGGGGTGAGGGGGAGGTGTGGGGGGAAGGGAAAAGCAGCATACCAATGTAGTGAAATCTGGAAACAACAGCATATATACAGACACAAAAAAAGTTTGCATATTGCACAGAGCGCTTGAAGATCATAAATCTATGCATGAGAAAGATGTAGTGGAAATTTTGGGGGGGATTAGAGTTTATTTTTGTCATCTCTGTGAGACAGCTACTCATTCATCCAGATCACAGCTAAGAAAAAAGCTGGTCACAGAAATTAGCAGTTTCAGCTCAGCAGCGAAGTCGCCAGCCTGTGAAGGCAGAGAGAAATTGACTAATTAGCAATGCGCACTAAAACTTGACGGTTCTTTATAGAGAGAGAGAAGAGAGAGGGAGAGAGAGGGAGAGGGAGGGAGGGGGGGCTCGCTTTTTCCCCTTCTTTCTTCCAAAGATGTTTGAAATCGCAGTCATTTACGCTCGACAATTTTTACAATAGCCTTGAGCCATAATTTTGCGAGTCTCTCCAGCATCCATCCCCCTGTATGGTCTCTCTCTACTGGCCAAGCACGACCGTTTCTCTCCCCAACCGTGGATTTCCTATTACTCTCGTTACGACTCACTGAGCCCCAGGCCCAAGGATAATGATGTGTTGTTTCTTGGTAGCATAATTTGTCACACGTACATTTTTTCTTCTTCTTCTCTTGCAGAAAGCTCTGCTCCCTCTCTCTCTCTCCCTCTCTCTCTCCCTCTCTCTTTCTCTCTTTTCTCCCTCTCCTACATTTTCTTGCTGTTGCTAATTCATGGTGATCAAATGATGTACGACAAAATAAATTGTAAAGAGTGACTGCCTGGAGTTGGGAACCAGAAGGTGTTTTCCCCCTCCCAAGGAGAGAGCAAACCTTTAAAAAGGAAGGACAATTGATTTTTGGGGGGAGCTTAAGTGAGCCTTGACTTTGCAGCTGGTTGAGAGCAGGTAAGTTTCTGGCCTTGTGTCTGCCTTGTGTGTATTTTGTTCTGTCTTTTGGGTTGTTGTAGGGGGAAGGGCCGGGGAGGGAGTCTTTCAGAGGTGTTGGTGGGGGGGGTAGTTGTATGGCAAACGCTCATAAAGAATAAAACTCCTATTGCAAGAAATAAGCAGATGAGGAGGAAAGGCAAGGGAGGAGAACAAGAAGGAAGGGGAATAGGAAAAGATGGGGGGGGGGAGACAACGAAGCGGAGAGAGCTAGAGAGAGGTATGACCGGGTCCTCTTAAAGGGAGAGAGACTCTAAGATGTTTCAGGCAAGCCAGAGCTTTGGGGGCGGGCGTGGGGGTGCTGCCGAGGGAGGGAGCGCGAAGGAGGGTAGGGTCCACCTGGAACGGGATGGTAAAGTGAGTCGAAAGGAGCTCAGTCCGGTATAAATAGGAAGCCGGCGATCCAGGACCGGCGCCAGGCAGGGCAGAGTGAGCCGCAGTGGAAGGGGCAGGTCCGGCGGGATCCCTCTGAGCCGGGAGGCGGCGGCGGCGGCTCTCCCGGGCGGGCGGACGGGCGGGTGCGCGGGCGGGATGCGAGCAGAGGGTCCCTTTCTGCTCAGCCCTGGAAGGTGCAATTACAGGTTAAGGACCGGGCGTATCGATTTCGCCTCGCCTCCCCCACCCTGCCCTCCTCCGCCTAGATGCCGGCGGCTCAGACTTTTTACAGAAGTAGTTCCAGGGCCGGGGGAGTGGGGGTGCCCGAGTGGGGGACCGCTGGGGGCTCTACCGAGGGGGTCAGAAAGCAGCTGCGGCTGCCGGCCACGATGCTGGGTGGGGCGCGGAGACCCCGCACCCCACTGCGCCCCCGCCCCCCCACTCGTTCCACAGCCCCCACCCCTCGCCCCAACACCTGCCTTCTAACTTGAACTTCTCATAGTTACTGGAGTTAAAGCGACTGCGCCTGGTGCCCGGGAGGGAAAACCGTGCACACGAATCCCTCCCGGCCTCCCAGCCTCCCGGCTCCCGCTCCAAACGCGTCCTCGCAGCCCCACTTCCTCCCCTTGGGTCCTCGGTGCCGCCCCGCACTGGCAGGGGAGATAGATGCCCGAACTTCCGCGCTTTGAAATGAGCGAGACGGGGGAAAGGGGGCCACCGGGTGGGGGTGGGGGTGGTGGAAGGATTCTCCTGCCAGGTTTAAAGGCGTCTCTGAAAAATGAGCCAAACTGAGTGGTGACGGGGAAGCCAACAGTTTGCGAAGCAGGGAAGCGGGCAGGGCCAGGGTGAGGGAAATGAGCTCGAATTGATAAGGACAGCTCCCGCCTCTGCCGAGTCCACTGAGCGGGTCCTCACCGCGCTCCGCTGCACTTTCCCGGGAGAAGAAAGGGCTTTATCTCCTCCCTCAGACTACTAGCCTAGGAGTTTCTCGGGGCAGCATGGATAATCGAAGGGGGTCCCAGCTTTTGGAGAGCTAAGATTCGCCCACCCAGCACGCTTGTCGGGCCCCTGTTCCTACCCCCTCCCCCAAACTGGGCCAACTGCGAAAAGCAAAGCTTCGGGCATAAGTTGACCTGAAACCTTCACCGTCGGTCGCCTCTGCGCTTTCAGGGCACCCCCGGCTCCCCACTCCCCGGCCTTTCCCTTCATCCGGCCCGGCATGGACACGAGCCCACGAGGTGCCTCGGCCTCAGCCGCCACTTTGCCGTCGCTGCTGCCACTGCTGTTGCTGCCAACAGCTGAGGTGGTTTTAGGAAAGTGAGGTACGAAGTGTGTGGGAGGTGGCGAGAGGAGTCGCAGGGAGCAGAACCGGCGCCGGGACCCCAGACAGGGCCCTTCTGGTGGCGCTCACGGATCCAGGGTCTTCCGAGTTTCCTCCTAGGGTCGGGGTCCGGAGCGCGCCAGGAGGGAGCTAAGCTGAGCCTTGTTTCTTGTTCTTCGCCCTCCCCTCCCCTCCACACCCTTCCCCACCCCGACCACACCCCACCCCATCCACCACCCTGCTCCCCTCCCTCCCATCCCCCACCCCTGTCTGCCAGGTTGGAGGAGGGTTTAAAGCCAGGTGCACCGAGTCAGCTCGCCATGTCCAGATCCGGGGACAGGACCTCCACCTTCGACCCCAGCCACAGCGACAACCTGCTGCACGGCCTCAACCTGCTGTGGAGGAAGCAGCTGTTTTGCGACGTGACCCTGACGGCCCAGGGCCAGCAGTTCCACTGCCACAAGGCCGTGCTGGCCTCCTGCTCGCAGTACTTCCGATCGCTCTTCTCCAGCCACCCCCCTCTCGGGGGAGGGGTCGGCGGCCAGGACGGCCTGGGGGCCCCCAAGGACCAGCAGCAGCCGCCGCAGCAGCAGCAGCCGTCACAGCAGCAGCAGCCGCCGCCGCAGGAAGAGCCTGGGACTCCTTCTTCCTCCCCCGACGACAAGCTGCTGACCAGTCCCCGGGCCATCAACAACCTGGTGCTGCAGGGCTGCTCGTCCATCGGGCTGCGCTTGGTGCTCGAGTACCTCTACACGGCCAATGTGACCCTGTCCCTGGACACGGTGGAGGAGGTGCTGTCGGTCAGCAAGATCCTGCACATCCCCCAGGTCACCAAGCTCTGCGTGCAGTTCCTCAACGACCAGATCTCGGTGCAGAACTACAAGCAGGTGTGCAAGATCGCCGCGCTGCACGGCCTGGAGGAGACCAAGAAGCTGGCCAACAAGTACTTGGTGGAGGATGTGCTGCTGCTCAACTTCGAGGAGATGCGCGCCCTGCTGGACTCGCTGCCGCCCCCCGTGGAGTCGGAGCTGGCGCTCTTCCAGATGTCCGTGCTGTGGCTGGAGCACGACCGCGAGACCCGCATGCAGTACGCGCCTGACCTCATGAAGCGCCTCCGCTTCGCGCTGATCCCGGCCCCGGAGCTGGTGGAGCGGGTCCAGTCAGTGGATTTCATGCGAACCGACCCGGTCTGCCAGAAGCTGCTGCTGGACGCCATGAACTACCACCTGATGCCCTTCAGGCAGCACTGCAGGCAGAGCTTGGCCAGCAGGTAGGAGACAACAAAGAGGAGGGCGGGGGTGGCGGGGGTGGGGGGGCGAGCCAGAGAGGCCGGAGGGAGGGGAGGGGGCAGGGAGGAGGGGAGAGATGGGTGGGCTGGGCGGGTGGCTCTGGCAGGATGAAAACAAACGCAAACAATTCAGAGTGTGTGGGGAAAGTTGATTTCAGAGTCCCTGAAAGGTCAATAGGGAACTGGCCTAACAGCATCCCTGAGCGCTCCAAAGCCGAGGTTCTAGATATCTCCAGAGCCGTAAACATGGGAATTGTGGACTCAGACTGAAATTGACAGGCAGGTGGGGCCAAAGGCCAGGAGAGTTAGAAGTGTAGCTTTGGCAGTCTCTCTAAGCCAGTTCTACCTACAAATCTCAAGATGGGCTTGTTCTAGAAAAGGGATCCTGTGGTGAGGAATGCCCACTCCACCCCTCTTCAGTTCTGCCTTGGGTGAGCAGAAGAGCCCAGGCGATGCTTGCAAAGGAAGGCTTTCATGGTCTTGCTGTCACACACTCAAGTTGTTTCTTCATGACTGGGGTCTGCTCCCTGTGGATGTCAGAGCTCCAAAATGCTTTGTCTATTAGGGTCACTATTGGAAATGCTGGTATCATGTGCCCAGGCAAACTTTTCTATGTTGTGGAAAGCCTTTCCTTTTCACTTTTAAAGGAGAGTAAAGCAAGAGATTTCAGGGTGATGGGGTGAATCTTGCCTAGTAACTCCCATTTCTGAGAAGAGTGCAGTTGAAAATTGGGATGGGGGAGTGGAGAGGCTTCTAGCTCCAGATGGGCTGTGTGCCTGCTCACCAGTGACAAAGAAGTTGGGGAGTTGTTGCTGCTCCTGTTGTTGCTAGTTAGAAACGTGGCTGTGTGTGTTGCAAGTAGGATTTCAGGGGAGAGAGAAATGATGCCTTTTAAAAATGCTGCTGAGATAAAAAGGTTGTAGGAATTGACAATCGTGTTTTATTGGCTCCAATTTTAAAACCATTTTTAATGAGCCCTAGCAAAGGGTTTCTTTCTCTTTTTAGAAAAGAGAAACAGTATCCTCTCAGTTTCTCATGATAAAACATCATGATTCCAGATGCTAGGCTACTCCAGCCTAACCACCAAAGTGTTACATTAGTAAAGCAAATGGTTTGAAAATCTAGCAGGGCATTTTCCCAATGAGAATGATGTCTAAAGGATGGGGCCCACCTTGTGCAGCCTTATAGAATTAAATGGTGTGTGTGTGTGTGTGTGTGTGTGTGTGTGTGTACTTTTCATTGTATTTCCAGCAGACCTAGGTAACTAAAGTTTCAAGAAATGGAAGATATTCTCTACATTTTTTTAGGCGGCTCTAGTGTTAAGGAGAGGCCAAGAGTAGGCATGAGGAATTTTGAACTTGTAACAAAACCCTGGAAGTTGATTTTTCTAACATCTGTGGGAGATGAGTTAATGAATCGTGGTGTCAAAAGATGATAATAGGACAATAGAAGAAACAAGAATCTAAATCCCCTTGTGCTTTTAACAGTGAGCACAAGAGGCCAATGAGGAAAAAATCATGAAAAGTATTTTTATTTTATTGGAATTTTTCGCTTGTCTAAACATCCAAATGGCAAACTCAGTATGATGGGCAGTGGGCATTGGTGATTAATATTCTGTCATTTTAATATTTACCACTTTTAAATGACCTACAAGTATACTTCATTTAGCATATATCATACATAGTCAGTAATTCAGACAACACAGTTATAGTTCTGCACATACATTTACTCATACTTTTAAAAATATGTATAATGCGGTATAAATTCAGAAACCCAGAGGAATAATCAAATTAAGATTTAACTTATTCTAAAAGTAATTTTGGCAGAGGAGCTTTATAAATTTGATCCAGTAAATAATTTCTGAAGCTCTCAATGCACTTTTATTTAATAGGTATGTCCTAAGATTCGATGTTAGAAGAGTTGACTTTCAAAATGCAAAATCCATTTCCCACTTTAGACAAGATTCAGCACACCAGCTAAGGCCTGCTGGCTCTGTCCTGGTGGATGACTGAGATACCAGGCTGCCTGGCTCCGTGACGACACCTTCCAGCTTCACTGGGCCACATCATTTGAAGGATATGTAGTGGTGTCTGACCACTAAATGCTTACAAGTGTCATGGATGCTGCAAGAATCTGATACTTCTGCAGTAGGAAGAAAGCTGTATTTTCTTTTAAAAGAGAAAGATATAGAAAAGAAAATAGTTCATGCGAACCTGTCATTGACCTCAAAATAATATAATTTGGGTTTTATTCCATTATTCGTAAATGTAGCACTTTAAATTTTACAGACTAATTACATTATTTTAATTTTAATTCACAGGAAGAATGCCAAAATAACCATGAAGTTCCTAACTTTAAAGTAGACAAAAATGCTATAAGTTGCAACCAGCAGTATTAAATCAGCCCATTTATTATAGCATCAGTGTAATATAAAAATGTTCCCTCAGCCTTATGTGTCGCTTAATAGGGGGATAAATGGTTAACTTGAGATTACATCACTTTTATTGAAGACAATTGAATAGAAGGACCTTGTATTTATTACTTGTTATCCACCTGTAGTTTTTAAACTCTAAATGTAAAAGAGTTTATTAAATTCAGAGAGGAAGATGAAAATGTAAAATTGACCAGTCTTTTGGAATAAGTACAAAGTATAAGCAAATAGAATAACTTCAAAACAGAATTCACTTGTTAAAGAATATATTATCTATAGAAAGTAGAGATATTAATATAATCACAATTTAAGCATTTTAAAGAT